CAAACAAAAAAACTGAACTGGGTTGTAAGCCGAAGTAGAAATTCACACTGAGTTTGTTTGCTGAAAACTTTAACTCTCGGAGTCTGTTGTGATGCAGAACACATGTCTTACTTGAATTACTTGACTGTAGACCTAGGGTCTGAGGAAGACGGGGTGCTCCATGCTTCCTCGCTACTCTTCATGAGGGTCCACATGAGGGTCCATTTCAGTGTGATTGTCTCCATCATCAGCCGATAGACATAGAGATGGATAGAACACATGTCTATTATAATTCAACAAAAGCACTGGTCACAAGAACGCCTGGCGAGGTCAGGTGTGGACTGAAAGGTTTAACTCTTTCGGTGACAATTCAAGATAAACCGGTGACGGGATGTTTCCCTTTCAAAATACTTCCCTTCCTTCAGATCTCCAAATGAGAGACAAGGTCGATACGTTTGGAATTAGGGAAGGTGTAAGGTCTAAACTGGCGTGGGGAAACGGTAGGACGTTATGGTGTGGCCCAAAATACTGAAGCTACTTTAACTCTCTATTCCGTCCAACCAACCCTTAGCTAAACCCTGTATCTAGTTGCTATTTTGATTTGAACACATTGGTTATGTCACAAGTAACCAGTACGTGTTTATTAAAAATCATCATTTTCTTGCTGGCACGAGGAGGGAGTGCGGTAATTGTGCAAAGGAGAGATTATTATCAAGAGAGCAATTTCGTATTCAAGTTACATTACATTGCCTGTGAGGTTTCACGAATAAGAAATAGTGAAGCCCAGAGAGAAGCCTGCAAGCTGCACACATTCACAAGTGGAAATGGAGTTTTTTAATGCTCAAAATGAGGCAAACTCTCCTGTGTCAGAGTTGGTTGTGTTGGCCATAGCAGAAGCCATAAATCTTCATGATTCTTGTTTCTTCTGTTTTGCTTGGGAAATTTTCTCCTCTGCAGATGCATTGGTCATCGTCAGACAATGATGGACAAACTGTTATTATCGTTATTATCATCACCATCATAATCATTATTATACTGTATTATTATCATTATCATTATCATCAAACGCGGACATAAGAAAGGGGAGAAAGTGGAGCTTGTCTTGTACTTTAAAGGTACCTTAGGGTTTTGCAGAAACTAAATCTTTTTTTTTTTCTCTCGTTTTGATAAGAGTGAATGTACATTTTCCACTACTGGTCTCCTTTTTTTTATTGACAGATTTAAGCAACGACATACAACAAGATCATCTCTACTCAACAACTCAGATACAAGCTACCCATAACATTCCCGAACTTTCCCAAGAGGACCGGAAACACGTCAGCTCTCTCTAACAAAGATGGCGGACTTGGAAGAGAGTATTTACTCCAACGTCAGTGATCTGGGGACGACAAACGGTTACGAAGAGAAGAATGGAACCTCCCACCACAGCCGTCACAGCTCACAGAGTAGCGGTCTGTCCACGGGGAACAAAGAGAACCTCACTGCAACCAACAGCAGCAGCACAGCCGACAGTTCCAGTGAGCAAGATCTGATCCTTCTACAGAGGGGAGGTGAACTGCTGGAGGAAAGCAGGACAGAGTCTTATTACGAGAACCAAAAAGTGTAAGTAATTCTCACTGTTCATTATCATCATTGCCTTTCTCACTCTGGATCAGGATATAGGCCACGAGCAAATACTCCCCACCTTTCCCTAAATTCTCTCTGTTGCTACGTCGTTATTGGTAGCATTTGAGTCATTTTAGAGGCTTGCTTACACTTGTTGGTTCGAGGGTACGAGCCGCGGGCTTAACGTTGTGTCCTTGGGAAAGGCACTTCACTAGAATTTTCCTCACTTCACCCAGCTGGGAATGGGTACCCGGCCATACACAGCGAAAGATTTTGTCAGTATGTTAGTGCTTTAGCGCCTATAAATGGCTGCTTGCAATGTATGCTTTCCAGGAAGTTGACATTGATTCAAAATGCTCTCAGGTCTGCTGGGGTTTTAGTATAGATTGGGAATCGCATAGAGCTTGCTGTTGAGTGTGGACTTGCGCAATACAAATGCGATCTATCTATCTATCTATCTATCTATCTATCTATCTATCTATCTATCTATCTATC